ACTCTTTGACATTAAACTGATTTGAAAAATTATGATAGAAATTATATATATATATATATATATATATATTATTTTGATCAATTGGTCAATATATAACTTGTCCTTTAGAATGGGGTATCTCTTAGGTGACCGAGCTAGTAGGGATAATTAATTAATTAATGTAACAAAATTTAGTATATTTATTAACTAATTAATTAAATAAGTAAAGAGAGAGTCCATCTGTGACAAAAGAATATTAGTCAAATCTTAGCTTCCCAGTTCCCCACTTAATTAATTTTTCAAAAAACAAAAAAAGTTGTTGAATGATGCAACAGAACAGAACTAAATAATTTAAAACAAAAAGCTTCTACCATAGACTGTTTTTTTTTATAGTGTTAATTAATTTACTCATATAATATATACTACTACTGCTAAGTACTAAAAAAAAACAGCTACTAAGTACTTGATTAAAGTTACAATCTAATACCAATTTGACCCCTTAACTTTCAAGATAATCCAGTTTGTCCCCTGAACTTTCCTGATTACTATTTATCCCCCTGTCTCATGCATTCTTGCGAGGTTTTGACCAAACTAAGCCATTATATAAAGCCACTCACCAAAATAATAAATTTTACAAAATTAGTATAAACGTATTCCACAGTAACGTTTTAGGATATATTTTATTTTTTAAAAGTTGATGGCGTCAGATTGATATACGTTACTCACAGTAACATTTTAGGAGTAAACGTTACTAAAAATAACGTTTTAAAAGTAAAACGCTACTTACAGTAACGTATATCAACCTAATGCTGTTAGTTTTTTAAAAATTAAATATACCCTACAACGTCAATGTGAAATACGTTTATACTAGTTTTTTAAATTTTTTGAAAAATATATTACTTTGATAAATTGTTTTATATAATGACTTAATTTGGTTAAAAATTCTATTCTTGCTGATGTTTATTCCACCGTCATATTAAATCATCATATTAAATAGGAGTGGAGGCAGTGTATACTTAGGGTTCATTCGAAATTTAAATTTTTTTGGCAAAAAATATTACTTTCACATGGTTAAAATATCTTTTAGGTATGTATAATAAATGTTAAATTTCATTTTAATAGTTCGCGTGTTACTTTTTAGATTTTTAATTTCTTTATTAAAAGTCCTGATTCCGTCAATTATATTAAAAGATAACTCGACTTTGAATCAGCTTCTTTGGATGACCTAAAGGCTTTGAACATCATAATTTTGTCTCGAATTTTAAGTATTTAAATTCTGAACTCAAATTTTAAGTATTTATATGTTCTCTAATTTTCACTCTTATTTTCAATATGAAATTTACGTAAGAAAAGCTTTACAATAAACCCTTGCAAATTAATAATCTATAATTGATGGGTTATTGCGATTCATTTAAATTTTTAAAAGGAGTATGACAATTTCTTATGAAAATAAATCAAAAAAGAAAAAAAAAATATTAAAGGAAAAAAGTGGATTTCATGAAATATAATTAGATAAAAATTGATTAGTGCTCCTATATAATTGAACCTAATAACAAAAGATTCATCATAAAGTAAAATCCATTCATGTCATATTTTTGTCCCAATTGGTACTTTTTTGGCTGATAGAATAATCAAAAGTTATTTACTTCATCAATTCATATGTTGATAAGCTTTGAGGATTCATCTTTTTTACTTTTCAAAATTGCATAGAATTTTTGTCACCATCATGAACGAATTATTAATTTAAAATCGTTCTAAAAAGTGCAATGTTTCAAATTTCTTTTGTTAATTTCAGTTTCAATTATTTAACACACGATAAGGGATACTTTTCATTAGCTAAAAATAATTATCTCAAATTATTTGCTATTTCACTTCTCATCCTTCTCCTAATATTTAATGTTCTTGAAACGCTATTAATTTAATCTTATTAATAAATAAAGTTTATTTTATCAAAAAGAGATAAAACATACAACAGTAAAATTATTTTTTATTTTAGCTTTTTGATTTTTAATTCGGTGTTTGATATTCATATTGAAATTCGATTAGATTCAAATTCGTGTCAGAAAATCTTACATTGAGAGGTAAAACACTTTCTTACAAATACGACTCTATATACAAAGAGATATAAACCCAAAACCTATAGTTAAAAACGAACAGATACTTACCATTTCACCATAATTCTTACCAATAATTTTATTTATGACTTTTAAGAAACATGCAAAAAATAAAAAAATAAATAAAAAATTGATAACTAATACTCCCTATATTCCATAAAAACTGAATTGGTGACACCAACGAAAAAAAATTCATTCAAGGACATAATTTTTAAACTGTATTTTCTATTATTCTTTTGTAAATCATAAACATAACTTTATAAATAGTTTAATTTATTTTTTTAAAAATTGTCAAACTCCATAAAAAAAAGGAACAAGTATGAGAATAAATTCAAAACATCCGTCTTAAACTTTAAACAATAAAAAGTATCAAAAAATTTAATAATAACTAATATAAGACGCAGAAAATATTAACGCAAACATTGGAGAAAGTTAAGAGGCATCATAGTGTGCATCCGTAAAAGTTTAAGGGGGAAAAAGAGTTTAAAAATAAAATCTAAGTTAATTGAAGTAACTAATCAAGTTAATTAAGCAGTGTTTTAAACCCCTTAAAAGCACATTTCCCAAGTGACACGTGTCAATGTCTCCATCAATGGGTGCAGCAAAGTAATTTGCATGAGGGGACGCACTCACTTAAAAGCGATCCAGTCAAACTCCAAGACTGTCATTTAATTATTAATTTAAATAAATAAATTACAAAAATATTATTATTTTTTTCAGAAAATAAGAATTAAGGGATAAGATTAAAAAAATAAATAAAAAAGGAATAGAGTACACAAAAACATATAACAGCACACTCTGTCCTAGTTATTGACCAGTCAATTTGCTTAGCTGCCACTTTTTCAAAAGGCAAAGGTCCCAATTCCAACTCTAATTTTTTTTTGGTACTTCATTATATCTTGTAAATTTTATTTACAAAACTATAAAGTTTAATGTAATATTTGATATAATATACCTTATTTATTTTTTAATTTAGTAGTCAATAAAATGTTAATTTTTTTTTGAATTTTTAATATAAAAAAAGTATTAAATAATTCATTTCATTAATTTAAATATAGATGATCTGAGTTACTTAATATTTGATGTTAGTACAGTATAACAGATATTTGGTAGAACTGATTAAAGTATATACGTAAATCGATCAATATAACAAGGTCATAAAAAAGTAGGCCAAGATTTTCGAACCAAGCCTTTGCAACAAATAGTATATAGTTTAAAACAAGATTAGACGTTTTATATAATAAATCATTTCATTTATATATTTATGTAATATCAATTATCTCCGAAAATAAAGAGAAAATCATATATTTTTATCCACACGAATGAAATGTTTGATGCTTTTACTTTATATCTTCTTTAATAAAAGTTATGGTAAACACTCTAATCTTCTTTAGAATTAACGCATCATTTTTTAAGTCAAATGTTTTTATTCTTTTGGTCTAAACTTTTTTTTTTCTTTTTTTACTTTAAGACTAAAATGAGACAAGAGGGAGTTTAAATTATATCAGGATAGTGAAATTATTTTTATCTTTTATAATAAATAATTTATAAAATTATATTTTTAATACTCTTCGATTGATCATATAAAAATACTAACACTAAAAGTATTTCTATGACATTTATTTATTCAGATAATTTATGATCGCTATAAAAATTAGATAATATAAAATATGAAAGATTGTTTTTTTTTTTAAATTAATTATTATAGTAAAAATGTTACTGTTTTGAAAATAACATGGATATATGTAAACTCGAACTTTGCTATTATTTTAATAAAGTATGAAAATTAGAAAAGAATCATAAGTAATTTATGTCCCCAAGACTACGCCGCACGTTACACTTTGACCATCTGACCCGTCTTTACGTCTCTTTTATAATTACCCAATATTCATCCGTGAGTCACTAACCTAAAGTTTTTTTAAAAAAAAATATATTTGATAATTTTATTAGTATTTAATTATTTGAAATTCACGTTATATAGAATTTTAATTTTAAGGAAATTTTTTAACCTGAATTTTTCATATGAAGAGTTTAATTTTAAGTTTTTAATTAAAAAAAATAATTTCATTGATTGTATCATATTCGTGAATGTTATCCAAAGTTCCTTTCTATTCTCCAAAAGCAAATAATTCTCAATTTTTTTACTTATTACTACATCGAATTTTATGAGTGCTATTGTTTCAAATTATCCGTTATAATTTATAAAATTAATTATTTTACTCGTGATAGTAATTGTCGTATATAAATACTTCAATTGTGAAGTTAATACATATGTATAAATAGAGATACGATTAAGGATAACGCATAGCTAACTAGATACACGATAGATAATTTAAAAGCGAAACTTGTATTAGTTTTAATAATATTTCAATTTTGCTTTAAATAATAGAATTTTTACGGAAATCGGATATCTCGGTGGCATTGGACTTTGGACCACAATACACGTGTGGTCCACAGCTTCTCTGGTCAAATTAACCGCCTATCCCCGGTAATTTTCAAAAATTACCTAAAATATTTTCTATATTTCACAAATTGTAGAAGAAAATATTGATTGTAAAGACAACAATAAATCACAGTTGTATTGTTGAAAGTTTAGTAGTTCTATTAATGCTGAATAGTAATAATAACATGACGTCAAATATGCTGAAAACTTTTGAAAATAAATTTTAAAAAACTAAAATATATGCTTAATACAAAAACAAACATATTCAGCACCTATAAAATTTCACAAATAACCGAATAAAGTATACACAGATTTTAATAACTTGATTAAATATACTAAAACTTAACGTTATGTTAACGTAATTGATAAAGATAGAAATATTATTTTCAAAAGTATCTCGAGGTTGATTATAACTTAAAAAAAATTAATTTTTTTTGTAGGGTTTTCAGGTATAACTTGCCCCATATCCATCGGGCCGTGGGAGGGGTAGGGGGCTCACACTCATAGAGGTAGCTGTTCTTCCCTTTTTCCCCTTTTATTCTCTCTCATTTCTGGGTAAGGTTTTTCTTGAACATATTTTTCTCTGTTCTTGATCTAAAACTCGTTTTGGGTTTCAAAGTTTAAATCTTGGAGTTTCTTTATTAAGTGGGGTTCTTTTTCTTTCTTGAATTTGATTACTTTTTTGTTGATTTGAGGATTGGAATGATTTCAATCTTTTGGAGGTTGAAGGGGGAAGTGAGAAAAGTGGAGAGAGTATAGTATAGCTTTGGTATTAGAGAAGAAGATATTGGTAAAAAGATCCTGTAACTATAGTCTTTGATGATGATAATGATGGTGAAAATGAGCACTATGGCTCTTTTGACCAGAGAAAAAGAGTTCAGATAAAAGAAAAAGATGTCCCCTCCTGTCAAATCTTGGTTGTAATTGTCAATGAGCAAAAGAGAGAAGACAAAAGAGTGCAAAGACTGTTCTTTTTCTTTTCTCTTTTTTCATCCACACGCTTCATTTTTGCCCTCTAAATGTGATGTTCTTGTTGCTTTGAAGCATACCCCTTCTTGTTCTAAAGGGGAAGATATTCTTTCTTAGTTTTTTAACATTTGACTAAAAGGGTCAGTGAAAATGCCTATGTATGTGCCTTCTAGGGGGAGAGTGGAGGAATTTGATGTTGGGGGTGGTGGGCAGGTGTTGGATCTGGAAACTGCTGTAAAAGATGGGATTTTGGGTGGTGGTGGTGGGGTGGTGGTTCATGGTGGTGCTATAGAGAAGAAGTTGAGTCTGAGGAAAATGATGGAGGAGCTTGATTCAATTGATGTTCCTTCAGTTTTTATTTGTCCAATTTCTTTGGAACCCATGCAAGATCCAGTAACCCTTTGTACAGGGCAAACATATGAGAGGTCTAATATTCTCAAATGGTTCTCTTTGGGGCATTTTACTTGTCCCACAACAATGCAAGAGTTGTGGGATGATTCTATCACTCCTAATAGTACTCTTCACCAGCTGATTTACAGTTGGTTTTCTCAAAAGTATTTGGCTATGAAAAAGAGGTCAGAGGATGTGCAAGGAAGGGTTTTGGAGATTTTAGAGACCTTGAAGAAGGTTAAAGGTGAGGCTAGAGTTCAAGCTTTGAAGGAGCTAAGACAAGTTGTCACTTCCCATGACTCAGCCAAGAAAACAGTGACAGATAACAGTGGTGTTAGTTTGATTACTTCACTGTTAGGTCCTTTCACCAAACATGTTGTTGCTTCTGAGGCAATTGGTATTTTGGTACACTTGGATCTGAATTCAGATGGGAAGGCTAATTTGATGCAACCTAATAAGATTTCCCTGATGGTGGATACCTTGAATGAGGGATCCAATGATACCAAGATAAATTGTATGAAATTGCTCGAATTGTTGATGGAAGGGAAGGATTCAGAGTGTGATGTTTTGTCAAGCTTGAGTCTTTTTGTAGGATTACTGAGAATAATCAAAGATAAGAGACACCCTAATGGAGTGTTGTCTGGTTTGAGATTGCTCAAGCTGATTTCATCTCACGAATCATTGAGGAACTCAATTGTTGGTATTGGGGCAATCCCCCAATTGGTGGAAGTATTACCCAACTTGAATGCTGAATGCTTAGAATTAGCCCTGGTTATCCTTGAAGCCTTGTCTACCCTTCCAGAGGGAGCATTGGCGTTGATGGATTGTCGTAGCACCATTCCGAATGTGGTTAAATTGCTCATGAAGGTATCAGAGAGCTGCACTCAATTCGCGTTATCAATTTTATGGGCAGTGTGCAAACTTGCCCCAGAAAAATGCTCATCTGTGGCTGTTGAGGCAGGTCTAGCAGCCAAGTTGTTGCTTGTTATTCAAAGTGGATGCAACCCTGTGTTGAAGCAACGGTCTGCTGAGCTCTTGAAACTATGCAGTCTAAATTACTCAGAGACCATTTTCATTTCCAAGTGTAAGCTTACCAAGACAATGCAATGAGGTGACATGGTGTTGTTCATACGGTTCAACTAAAGTCCGTTCTATACCCGCAAGGGCAAGGTGCGCTCAACAGCTCGCGGAATCTGTATAATTGGACAAGGAGGTACCTACTTGTACATATTAAAGAGCTTTAGCTTTCATGAAAAAGGCTTCATAATGTGGATTATAGATAAAATGCTTATATCAGACTATGGTTCGGTGCCTTCCATTTGATCTTTCTACTGAGGTTTTCCAATAACGTATGGCACACAGTGGTTTCAAATTTATTCATTCAAATCTTTGTAGTCACTTAGACCGGTGATTTGATTGCCTTATTGCTACAATTGAATGCTATAGCTCATATTCACTATGTAAAATGGGGAAGAATGTCCAGCAAAGCTAGTGTTTGAAATTGTAATTGTACACATTTCTTTTGGGATTCTCCGAGTTTATCCCAATTCCCAAATTTTCCCCTATTGTTTTTAGAAAGTCCTTAGTGACTTTCACTTCTTTGCTCTTTCGGAAGGTTTCACTCGGGAGTTCTTTTTTTCATTGCGGAGATTGTCATTTGTAAAAAAACAACAACATTTCCAATATGAAATCAGCATTCACAATGGATTCAATTTTCCCTTCTCAATTATTGTCTTAGCTTTACTTGTGTTTAATATGATTTTGCTTCTTTTCAATACCTTACTGTCTCAAGTGATGATTCACCCTTAATACTTTTGTGAGCTTCCTAGTTTTTTTGGTGTTCTGTTCTATTCAGAATTTGGATATAATGAGCTATGTTGTTTGGACTCAGTGTGTGTCGAATCCGACATAAGTAACACGGGTATGTCATCATTTTTGTAGAGTCCGAGCAACATAGGTGATCGATGAGCAGTTGTGTATGTTAAAGATTGTTCTTTGAGGATAGTGGCACTTCTGTTTACAACAGATCTTTGTTGGAAAAGAGCTGTTGTTTTGCTGATTGGAAATTCTGTCAGTATACATCTTTTTTTTTTCTAGCTTGTTTGTGTGGTAGAATGGAAAGAGAAGGAAAAAGTAGAAAGATGACTTCAACTGAAGTGAAACTTTCATGTTCCATTAAAGTCCTGGTAATAATAATAGCACTAAACAAGAAAAATAGCACTTCCATTGAGTCACTATCATGGTTCTCATAATGCATATATGAAACTGAAGTGAAAAAAACACCAAAAGAAGATGAGGGAGGAACAGTAGAGAACACTACTGATTCCAAAAATGTAATCAAAACCCCAAGTTTCAAAGCTTTCCCCTTTAGCTCTTGGTCCCTTGCTTAAGCATGTAGTCACAATTGGTAAGAAAAGGGGTAGGTGAAATGTCTCACACAAAACAACTCAAATAAACACCATTGTGGCCTAGTAGTCAACAACATCTAGTGAGAGAGATAAAAAATTCAATCAAGGTGAGTGTCGTGAGTTCATACCCCGTGAAATTAGTCGAGTTGAGTACACAGATTACTAGAAGTGTCATTCTTGTAGTTAACAAAACTTGTTCAAATGGTCAAAATAATGAGTTTCAAGATTTGGAAACATGTGCTGATGAGGTATTTTATACTCATTGTCCTTGGAGAAGTGTATTCTAGGATATTGAGGGGGGGGGTAGGGGGTTATAAAGACACCACCCCACGTACTCATATCTTGGACCAAGAAAAGGAAAGTAGATTAAAAAAAGTAAGTTGAAGGGGGAGGAGGGAAGTTGAAAAGTGCATGGACAAATAACTTACCTTAAAAGAAGGGGAGACAAGTTAGTAGTCTTTGTTGGCATTGCAAAATAGCAACTTTGACTGAGATCTAAGGGGGGTAACTTAAAAGTAAGCAAATTTTGCTGAGAAAAAGCATATTATTTGCTGCCTGTGACCTTGGAGGTGAACCCCCATTTTAAGCCCTTTTTCTTTTTGGCATTGCAAGTTTTATACAACATCTTCAAAGCTGGAAAGAGCTCTCAATTGGGGGCTTTTTCTAAAGGCCAAGAAACATTGTTTTCTTGGTGGAGCTACTTTTAAATTAGTTTACGTGTTCCTCGATTAATTTATCTTAATACTTACTAACTCGCAACAATATATGTATTAGATAATTCTGACTATCAAGATTTTGATACATTTCATTCTTGTTAAGATTTGAACCCTAATTTCTCGTGATTTTTCCTCGATCCATTGATAGCTATGTCATATCGTAACCACATTGTTTCTCTTGCTTTTTGCATAGTGCCCCGACCCCCCCCCCCCCACCTTGTAGGAGGTTTGAGCGTTTATACTGTGAGGATTTTAGTCACGTGAATAATTTAATATGCTCGAAAAAAAATGTCATTGAGAGAAATCAACAAAGGGAAGGAAAGCATGTGAATATCATCACATGTGTAATAGAAAGATTGTCCTCCGGCTGAACATGATATGAATGATTAGAGATAGTGATTTATCGCCTTGACTTGTGTCTCCACCACATCTATCTCTTGTCTGTTTACAGACTCAGATTTTGATTCGCTGTCTAGGAAGAGAAAGGATAGACAGAAAGCCTGTTCTTACCCGCTTATCATTTGTGTTGTGTTTCCGGTCCGGATTAACATAAAGAATGAGGAAGCTAATTATTTTTCACTTTTCTAAAAACAAAATACGAAAATAAATCTCTTATGTTCATTTATGACTTAGAATAAAAGAAAATGATGCAATAAATAGTCTTAGTATTTCACTTACATATCCTATAATTATTACTTTTACTGTTTCCTGTGTGAAAATTACTACTACTATATAACTAAGATAACATTTGATAATCTATAAGGACCACCTTTTTTTTTCATCTAACAATGCCAATGGGGTTACCGTTACATGTATATACATTAAAGGTAAATATTTTCATCTAATAAAATAATATTTCAAGCCTAAATGCATATAGTAAAGTCACAATCAAAGATAACTCATTTTTTGCTCTCTATAAATTTGAACAATAAATATACCATAAAGTTTTTCAAAGAGAACCACTGTTTTGGTCATAGCCTAACAAATCTAACAATTTGAATTCAATATACATTTCTTTAATTTCTTTTACAAGTTGAAAGTTGAATTATTGCAAGTGGAGCCAAAAAATTTCATACCGCAATAAAGGAGTTTGGAATCTAGATGCTCTTTTAATGCACACTATATTTAAATTTTGGCATTCTTTTTTTAATTTTATTTCTTATCGTTCGATATTCAGAGTCTATATTCGAGTTTCGATTAAATTCAAATTACTTATTGCATGACTTTTTCAAAAGTAATGCTCTCAATATGATTTTTTCCATAATCAAGACTTAAACAGAAACTTTTAGCCAAGGATAGAATAGTCCCGCCACTGCACCAACCGCGGTGGTAGCATTTTTTTTTACTTAGCTTTCATTTCGATTAATTAATTTAAACAGGCACACGATCCAATGAGGATTCAAAATATCTCTGGTGTCACGTGTGCTTAGGGACTAAATTTTATTTTCATTTATTTTAATAAAATCAAATTTATTACTACATTTTATGATAATGTTACACAGAAATCCAGGTTTTCTTAATAAAATGTAAAAAAATGTTTACACTTTGTGGGATAGCAATTAGGATAAATTAATCTAGTGATTATTACAGATCTAACTTCGATTACGGTACTTGTCTGGATGTGTTTTTTTTAACGTATAAGGCAAAATAATGTTATATCAGACAGTGAATTATTTATCGAGTATTAGTATTTGTTATTCGTCTGTTAGTTTTTATTTGTTAATTATTCTAATAGTATTTATTTTATGGTATAGTTTGAGTAAAAATGAATATTTATTTTTAACTGCTAAACTAGTGGTGAAAATATTTAAATTAAATGTTAAAATTATCTCTGTGTAAATTAATTCATTCCAACGGTAACAACTGCTATCTTCTTTTCCGTAATTTTAGATGTGTATCGTTTTTATACGGGCATTATATCCTCGACTTGTAATGAAGAGTTTAAGATTTTTAAAGAAATCAACTAAAAATATATTTTAAGAAATAAATGTTGGAACTTCTCCATCATATTACAAAATTTTCTTTATTTTGGAACTTCTTGGACATATTTATTATTGATGTTGGTTAATCAATTTTTTATTATTAATCGTTTGATTTTTAATTTGAATATTTAATTGGTGATGAAATGCTATTGTAATTATACATACATCGTTCCTATAATAGAAATAGTTGCAAAAAATAAAAATATATTACAAATATTTATGTTGATCACTTTGATTTAAGACAAAATAATTCAATTTTTTTTAAAAAGCTTATGCTATAAATTACGAAATAACATTAATTATAATTTTCTTTCAAATCTAAATTTGAGAAGAGAAAAGACAAGTATTTTGATCTAGAAGAGATAAAGCATTGCAATGTGTTTCTTACTAATGAACGTAATACTAAACTTAGGAAATAAGATTGAAAAAGCGTGTTAAAGTTATTGTTATAACCAAAGTACAACAATAATTTTAAAATATTCTTATTAAATTATTAATTTTACCATTAATCAAAATTATAAAATTACATATTGAACCAATAATCTAATAAAATAAATTACACAATTTTTGCACATTCCTAAATAAGTTAGCCTCTCTCTCGCATATGTAATATCTTTTTTGTTTTTCTAATATGTGTCCGTATTCGTCGAACTTCAACTAATTTAGATTGACTTATGAACATAATCAAATCTTATTACTCTCTCTCTTTGGTATTAGTTTTTATGATTTTTATTTTAAGAATTAAATTATAAAATTTTAACTAATATTTTATAATTTATTTTTTCATTCTATTAATATACAGAAAATTATAATTTATAGTATTCTTTATATAACTTTAAAATATTTATTTTTTATTTAAAATATTAAATTAATATAATCTAATTTAATTTTAAAAAATAATTAAATTAATTTTTGAAAGGAGGGAGTAATAAGATGACATGCGGCCCCAAATCCACGTCACAACAATACCAAACTTGAAAGGAAAAAAAAAAGAGAAAATCAAAACCATCAATCACCACCTACTGCATTTTTTTTTTCAAAATTGAAACAACTGTTCTTCCTTGTTATTCCTCGATCCAATCATATACGGTAGCTTAAAGCTTAGCCATGTCATGGCTTGCTCGTTCCATAGCCAACACTCTCCGTCTCGACGACGATGACGGCGAAGACGGAGTAGAATTCAATCGCAACTATCAAAACGACGTCGTAACGCGTGGTGCCAACTCATCAACTGCTTCTCACGCCGTTGACGAAGATACATCGACTTACGAAGAAATCGATTTAGAAGAACGATCTAATAACGATAACGATTACCGTTCCGGTTCCGATGTTGATGATGAGGATAATCAGAATCGCGGTGTGAAGGAGGATTTGTCTGAACTGAAGGAAACCCTAACGCGTCAATTATGGGGAGTGGCTTCATTTCTAGCTCCACCACCTCCGCCATTACCGCCGGGGAAATCGGATCTGTTTGGTTCGGAAGGGGACCGGATTGAGGATTCCGGGTTGAGTGATGGATCCGAGGAGGAAGAGGGGGAATATGTTGGGGATGGAGATAGTTACATGGAGAATTTGGATGAAGTGGAGGAGAGTGAAAGTAATGCTGTTGGAGTGACAGAG